AACTGCCACCGAATCGCCCCCAGATCCCCTATGAAGAGCTTTATTCTCGGGGGCGGCTTAATCTTAGACGACTTCAAAGTCAAGAAGGCCTCATCCAAACAAGATCGAGGTGAAGGGGCATCGAGGTATATATGCTCTATCACCGAAGATACCCTTCCCATTGTCCTAAAGGACTGTAACTGGGGAGGTAAGGACATGGTAGTCCCCGGGAATGAGGACGATATCACCATTCATATGAAGTGATATTTAAGTGTTTACACTTATCCCTTCATACTAGGCCCGGTGGACCGAGCTGTTTTGAACTTTTGCAAGAGATACGAGGTGTGCCTTGGGTAAATCCACCCGTCTATTTGGATGATCATGATACTCCTTCGTTACTTTGCGAATAACACCAAGTCTCGTAGTTTCACCCATGGACCACCTGCTCCATCTATACAGTCCCTGAATTTTCTGAGGGGGACTACTCAAACTCACTTGCTAGGACAGCAAGTCCCCCTTTTTGAGCATTGACGAGGATCGAGATTGAGGCTGGCAGGGGTGCTTCGTTCGGGTATAGACTGAAGATTTGATCCCTCCTGAGTTTCTGCCACTCCCTGAGAAGTGGAATGCATTCCGTAAGTGTAATCTTTCTTTAAGTGTTGAGTCTTCTTTGTTCCCTCTCCCACCATCAATGTTTGTGATCATGCAGTTGTTGCTCGGGTTCCCAATACGGTCCCCCGGCTCAAGGAGTAGATCGAGGGCATTTGCAACCAAATATCGTATTTTGAGCGCTCGTGGCGCAAGCTTTCGAAAGGCCGATAGGAGGCCCGTTCTCATGGTAAGGCTTTTCTCAGAACAGTTACTATTACACTCTGAACTTACTTAATGTTGACCCTTTCTATTTCCTTCACAGGTTTTCCTAAGACCACCGAACTTAGGCCGCTGAAAGTGGATGGGGACGCATCCTTACCCATTGATCCTTCCGTTACGGGACAGCCCGGGTCTGCCGTGGGGGAAAAGAAGAAGAGAAAAAGAAAGTCTTCGGGCTCACTGGGTCCCGAGTTGAAGCCAAATAAGAGGGCGGCTTCCCGGGCTCGTATGCCTAAGAACAACACCAACTTCCGAGTGTCGAATTCTGACTCGCTACTCCGGCTCAGAACGAGTCTGAAGAAATGATATTTTTGTTGCCCACGGATCGACCCTTGCCACGGATCGAGCAGCAGTCGAGGGGGAGAGTCGTGAGGCCGACCGTCCTCCGACTGAAGAGGCCGAGACGGAGACGGGGGCTAAGACCCCCCGAGAAGCCGGTTCTGCTCCGAAGAAAGTGACCGGTGTAATATACATCATGGAGACACCCTCCTACACCAAGTCCATGGTTGAGGAGGCCCAAGCAGGAAAAGAGAAGTAAAGTGAAGGAGTTCACTGTACGGACGACCCCCTTCATTCCTTCTTTGATGGCGTGGACTCATCCACTTTGGCAAATATTTTCGGGCTGGGCGACCTGGGAGTCTCGAAGAAAGACATATCTTCGGAAGCTAGCGGGCCGCGTTCGAGCCCAAAATTAGTTAATCAGTTCCCCGCTCCGAGTGTGGACCCCGATCATAAGAGAGTGATTATTCTTACTGTCCCAGAGGATACTCGGGTTCTATCCGCTCCCGTGGGCATAGCCAACTACCTTAGATGCCTGGTGACCAAGGAGGACCAGGCAAAGATAAATGAGGTGGGCGCGCCGTGTCTCTTCAATGAGGCACAACAGGCGCTGAACTGGGTAAGGCATCATTACTCCCTCGTGAATTTCACTTTAAGTTTTGATATCCCTCACTATTTTTGTTGTTTTGCAGGCCTCGATACTTCACCACGAGAGCTTTCTATGGTATCGCTCCGAGATCAACCAACTCAAGTTCAAGTTCAAGGAGCATGCTCGAAAGAAGGATATGTGCAAGCTCCCCAGTGAGCAACAAGACGGGGCCATCAAGGACCTTCAGGCCAAGCTGGATAGGGCTTAGAAGGAAGCTTCTACCTTGAGGTGGGAACATGCTGACCTAGTCAAAAAGGTAAAGGTCTTTGAAGTTAAAAACGAGGAGCTAGTTGTGGCGACTAACGAAAAAACCTGCAGGTCTAACAGAAGATCGACCAGACCGACCAACTCTGAATCTAGATGAACGAGGTCCAAGCCATGGCTGATGGGTAGAAAAGCAAACTGGACCTGTTGGCTTCGGAGAAGGAAACTGCCAAGGCGAAGCTGGTGTTGGTGGAGGTCCAACTCCGAGTGGCGAAGGAGAAAGCTAACAAGTGGTCTCAGCTGAATGACGGTCTCCGAACACAGCTGAGCTCGGTTGTCATAGAGCGGGATGCCCTTGGTAGAGAATACGAGGCAGTAAAGTCTAAGTTAGATACAAACTCCACCGATGCCGATGAAATGGTGGCCCAATACAAGATGGATGTGGAGGCAGTTAAAGCCCGCCTGAGGGCAAAGGCTGAATATATGAAGTGGCTATCCCGAAGAGAGACCCTCGAGGAGATCCACGCCCAAGGCTTTGACCTATCGGCTGAGATCGAAGAAGCCAAAAACTCAGAGGCCGAGGTAAAGAAGCTTTACGAGCCCGAAGGTGTCGAAGGCTCTGAGGGATCCGGGGGTTCGGATGGATCCTGACTTCAATGCAACTTTGTTTGCTCGAGGTTTTGAAAACTCGATGCGACCGAAAGTTTTTTCAAGATAATTAAGTGATTTTAGATGATGCTTTTTCCGAGGGTAACCTTTTAGCAGGTTTTGAATTTTTATAAAGGCCTTTATTTTGATTACGAACTTTGGACGTCTCTGAGCCATTTTTTGGATAGCCGTAGCCTTTTGTTTTTGGGCACCGTCTAATAGGTTTGGTGCTCCCGGGATTTAGTAGCCCGGTTTATCCGAACTTTTTTTGGATGATAGTCCCCGAGTAGGGGTAGCCCTTGGGCTCGATAGTACCCGAGTAGGGGTATCCTTTGGGCCCTTAGGATCCGAGTTTTAAGAGGCAAGAAATTATATAATAGCAAGGTGAAACTTTCTTTCATTTCAATGTGTAAAGTACATGATAAAAATTTGTATCATGGCTAAGGTGGGCTACGTGGGCACGGTTCTTACGACTGTTTGGACCTTACAATGTATCCTAACCACCGAGCCTTGGCTACTTAAGTACGAAGTGTCCTCCTTTCCTTGCTAAGGACCTTAACCCTGGGATGATGGCCCCCAGTATTCGAGGTCGAGCTTGAGAGGGCTTAGATACTGTTGATGCACCCATTAATTCTTTTTTGAGACCGGCCTTCGAATCTAGGTTAGCACGATTTACTGTTGCCTCGTTCAAAACCTTGCCAAAAAACCCATTTTGGGTCAAAACCGGTTCAAGGAGAAAAGAGTGCAATGCGTGCTTTCAGACCTAATGGTCACATTCTCCCTTGGCCATTGCCTGCAAGTTTCTGATTCATAATATTATTAAAGAGTAATTGAGATTGTACCTTAGCAGTAGTACCGCTTTAAGTGAGTTACGTTCCAGTTGTTCGGTAGTTGCACACCATTTCCTACTTCGAGTTTGTATGAACCTTTGCCAGTAATTCCGACGATACGATACTGTCCTTCCTGAAAGTGCAAGAGGGGTGAATTGAAAATTTAATTTTCTTTCCGAGGTAGTCGACTAACTTGCATTCTATTCGACTCGTATTTTCAAAACTAAATATAAGAAAGTAAATTGCAGAAAGTAAATAACACAAAATGTTTTATACTAGTTCGGATCCAGAGTGAATCCAACGTCCAGTCCCCTTGGGTTGCAAGGGTGATCTCTTTCAAATATGATGTGACTTAGTACAGATGAGTTGATGTTGTTATACACCAACAACCTTTTAGTCACTTTGTTCTTCTCTCTTATAATTGGTACAATGCCTCACCGATGTTCTTTTCTCTCTCTCTTCTCTTCTTAGTTACACAAGAAATCTATGACGGACTGCAGTGCTTGTTTGAAGTAGAACAAAGAGATTGAATTTGGTTTGATCAAAGTATGTGAAACCTTTGCATCTTCTGTAGAATATTTATGGTGAGTTGGTATCCATTCTTCACGTCTTGGTAGATTTGGCCAGCAGTAGTTCTTTGAGGAGCATCAACCTTTACCTTGGAACTGGAGGGGATCACTTTTGCTTCAACTTCCTGTTTCTTTACCCAAGTGCCATCCACCGCGACATATCCCATACTAATAAACACACTGTTGCTATAACACTTAGAAATAGATACATAGGGATAGTTAGAGAGAGGGATATTGAAGGCCTTGAGGAGGTGAGTAATGACCATCCCGTAGGGTAGGCTTGAGGGATCTTCAGCACATTCAATCAGAAAAATTTATTACCCAGGAGGATAGTTTCACCTTGTGCTTGGTAAAAAGACAGTAGACCAAAAAGGTTTCCCTTTGAGACAGATTGTTGTAGGAACCAGTTTTGGGAAGAATAGTGGTGGCAACAATGTGGGCAAGAATACGGGTTTCAAAATTGATGTCACTGGGCCATAATTAGTTTGGCAGGGGATCAAAGACGGAATCAGCAAGACATTCTTTGGCTTGTTCAAAAGATATTTCAAAATCATCAGGCCAAGAGTTCTTAAACAAAGCAGAGTAACCAGAACTTTTACACTTAAAAAGGGCATCAAACGTAAAATAGTCTAGAATAATGCGCTGACCTAACACGAGAGACTCAATTTTGTCAGATTTCTGGGAGCAAAGATTTGCATAGAACATACGAACTAAGTCTTCATAGACCTTTGGAGGGGTTAGGGAAAAGAAATTTTCGCAACCTTGAAAAGTGAAGAAGTCTTTTACCTTGCAATTTAGGGCTTCCATCTTTTCCAAATTGATGATCCTTCCATGAGCGATTGTCTTACCTTTGAAGGAGACGAACTTATCTCTATTGGGAGAATCCCAATAGTTTAGTTCGAACTCCAGTGCACTGTCCAGGTCGATCTTTACCTTCTTCAGAGTGTACGTTGTTGTTCCTTCTTCCATGGGTCACTTCCCTAGTGCCTTTTCTGCTCGAGCATTTTCAGAGATGATTTCTTGAGAAGACGAAAAACCCTCAAAGTGATCAGAGCCAATAATAACTGGTTCTGATGGTTGAGAGAGGTTTTGTTTCTTTGGACCATGTGCTTTTGCTAGTGGAACCAGAAGGATTTCTTGAGGCTTTAGCCATTGGAGAGGATGATTGAAGGAAGTATGCAGAGAAATTCAAGGGAGAGGCGGACTTATAGAGGTGGAGTAACTGAATCGACATTACTGGCGAGGTAGAGGAAGGAAAGAGATGTGACTGATTGATTCAGTTTCCATCTCGGTAAGCCAAAAAGGCGGAAAGAGTGGCTAAAAATGGAGGCGCACAATTAATGCAACAGGCAGTAATAATTAAGTAACACAGTAACAAAAGATTTTTACCAAAAGCTATTTTGATACGCAATCTTTCAAGTAAAAAAAAATTAAAGCCTTATTTGGAAAAGGTAATAATGCCAAGTAATTCCCTAAGGGTTTTAAACCTATCCTCTAGAAGAGACTTAATAAAAATGTCAGCTAATTGATTTTCCATGTTAACAAAAGATAATTCAATGTCGCCTTAAGAACATGGTCTCTAATAAAATGATGCTTGATATCTATATGCTTTTCTCTAGAATGATGCACAAGGTTTTTTGAAAGACATATAGCACTAGAGTTATCACAGAAAATTTTAACAGGCTTAAACGAAAGATCATAATTAGTTAATTGATGAATCATCCAAAGTAGTTGAGCACAGCATTGCCCAATGGCAATGTATTCAGCTTCAGTTGTAGATAGTGCAACTGATCCTTGTTTCTTACTTGTACTTTTCCAGGAAATAAGTAATTTACCAAGCAATTGACACGTCCCACTTGTACTTTTCCAGTCAGCTTTATCACCAACAGGGTCTGCATCTGAAAAACCTTCAAGATTAAAATTGTTTAAGACGTGGATACCATAATCCATATGAAGTGGTTTCAATACGGTATCTAAAAATTCGCTTCACGACAGTTAAATGTGACTCCTTAGGAGCTTCTTGGAACCTGGCACATCTGTATACACTAAACATTATGTCAGGACGGCTCACAGTTAAGTAGAGTAGAGATCCGATGATTTTACGATATTTTGGTTCATCAACTAATTTTCCTTCTTCATCTTTGTCAAGAAATGTAATTGGACTCATGGGAGTCCTAATTGCCTTGGCATTGTCCATTCCGAATTTTTGTATTAGCTCCTTTGTGTACTTTGTCTGACAAATAAAGATCCTTTCATCTGATTGATGAATTTGGAGTCCAAGGAAGAAAGTTAATTCTCCCATCATGCTCATTTCAAACTCACTATGCATGAGATATGAGAATTTCTTGCATAAAAAAAGGGTTAGCACTTCCAAATATAATATTATCAATATAAATTTGAATAATGAGATTTCTAGAAGATGATCTCTTGATAAAAAGAGTAGTGACAATATTACCTCTTAAAAATCCATGACTAACTAAAAATGAGCTTAGTTTTTCATACCAAGCTCTAGGTGCTTGCTTTAGCCCATAGAGAGCCTTAGTCAACTTAAACACATGATAAGAAAACTGCGAGTTTTCAAAACCGGGAGGTTTTTTTAACATAAACCTCCTCATCAATGAAGTCATTTAAAAATGCACTTTTAACGTCCATTTGAAAAATTTTAAAACCTTTAAAAGAAGCATATGCTAATAAAATATGAATTGATTCTAACCGTGCTACCGGAGCGAAGGTTTCATTATAGTCGACTCCTTATTGTTGAGAGTAACCCTAAGAGACTAGCCTTGCTTTATTCCGGATAACTTTACCTTCTTCATTCAGTTTGTTTCTGAATAACCATTTGGTTCCTATGATTGCTGCATTTGCTGGTTTGGGCACCAATGTCCAAACTTGATTTTTATCAAATTGATCAAGTTCTTCTTGCATTGACTGTACCCAACTTGAGTCTTTCAAGGCTTCGTCAACTTTCTTTGGCTCTATTTGAGATATGAGTGCGATGTTGGCCTTTTTCTTTAAAGCTCCTCTTGTTTTCATTCCATCAGTTGGACTTCCAATTATGAACTTCTAAGGATATTCTTGTTCGCTTCTCCACTCATTTGGTACTGCTTCAGTAAGTTGATTAGTCGACTCATTCTGAGGCCGATCATGCTCATTGATGCCTTCATTAGTCGACTGTGGGATTTCAATCATTTTTTCAGCAGTTTCTTTTGAAGTCTTTTGTTCAATGATCTTTGGCTGATCTCTTCATCACCTGTAATATCTCCTTTCTCGGCCATAGAGTTATTATCATAAAAAATCACCTGAACTGATTCCTCTACACATAGGGTACACTTATTATAGATTCTAAAAGATCTACTGTTATTCGAATAGCCGAGAAATATACCTTCATCACTCCTTGGATCAAACTTACCAAGATTGTCCTTGCCATTATTATGGACAAAACATTTGCTTCCGAAAGGATGAAAGTATCCAATATTGGGTTTCTTACCTTTCCATAATTCATATGGAGTTTTCTTCAAAATGGGTCGAATCAAGCACCTATTGAGAATGTGACAAGCTGTGCTAACTGCTTCTGCCCAGAAATGTTTTTGGAGGGAGTGTTCTAGTATCATGGTTCTTGCCATATCCTGTAGAGTTCTATTCTTACGTTCAACCACTCTATTTTTCTGTGGTGACCTAGGTGCTGAGAAATTATTAGTGTATCCTTGATCATTGCAGAATTCTTCAAAAAACTTTGCTTTCAAATTCTCCTCCATGATCACTTTGAATAATCTTACCTGCCTCATCTTCAATAGCACATCCTATTTTCTTGAATTTAACTTCGTACCCCGAATCACGCAGTTGACTTATACTTAGAAGATTGTAATTGAGTCCATCCATTAGATATACTTTAGTAATATCACAATTATTGCTGAATGGAACTATGCCAGTACCAACTATCTTTCCTCTTGAATCATCTCCAAATTTGACATTTTCTCTATTTATTTTTGTGACTTCTTTGAATAGATTTTTGTCACCTGTCATGTGACTAGAACACACAATGTCTAAATATCATTTTCCTTTGTGACTCTTTCTGTGGTGTTCCTGCAAAATAGAATTATCACCTTCTTTTAGGTACCCAAGCTTGCTTGGGTCTTTATTGGTTAGTTTTACTAGAATTAAGGTTGTTTTGGGGTTTCCAAATACATCTTGAGATATTTGATTTATGAAATCTACAAAATGAGTATTTATGACAAACTTTGTTACAGTAATGGCACATGGGTTGATCCAGTTTTTAATCTCCCACTTGTGTTAGTACTTATGGACTCAGTTCTAGCCAGTCCTATTCCAGTTGACTTATAAGTCGCCTGGTTAGATTTGACAGAACTGTGACTGGTAGACTTGCACATGCCATTAAGTTGCATTTGCAGTTCCTGAACTTCATCCTGAAGTACATCACTTTCGATTTCACAGACTTCAAGTTTGAGTTCACAATCCTTCTTTTCCCTATTGAGTCTCCTTAGTTCATTCAACATTTTTTGAGACTCCTTTAGAGTAAGGTCAAGAATATTCTACAATTCATTACATCTATCACAGTTATAGGATCCTACCACACTTGTTTCACCTCGTGCCATGAAATAATCTTTAGTATCTTTTGCATTCATCGTCTAATGCATCTTCATCAGTCCAGCAACCAGAGTATCTGTTCATGTCATTTTCCAAAATGGTCATGAAGCACAGGTTTGCTATTTCTTCATATTCTGAACAGTCTTCATCACTCGAGCTTCTGAAGGATTTGTTTTTATTGAATCCTCTGGAGACTTTTCTTTTAAGATCTGGGCATTCGACTTGAACATGCCCATACCTTCCACACTCATAACACTTTTCATCATTCTTGTCCTTTTCATTGTATTGCCTGGGTGGCATCCTTCCCCTTCTTGTGTTTATATACCTTCTCATTAATCCATCCATATTTCTTGATACCATGTCAATTTCTTCTTCAAGAGCTTCTGGGTCGTCATCAATATCATTTTCAGGTCTTTCAATTGTAGCTTTGAAGGCACTTGTTTTCTTCTTTTCTTCATGATTTGTTTTCTTGAGATGGGTTTTCTCGAATGCTATAAGATCTCCTCGTAGTTCATCATATGAAAGTTTGTTTATATCTTGAGATTCGAGTGCAACTACTTTTATCTGCCAAGTGGTAGGTAGGCTCCTTAGAATTTTTTGAACTTGATCACCACTTGAGTAGGATTTACCAAAGGCTTTTAGATCGCCAATGATTTTGTTGAACCTTGCAAACATTTCCTTAATGGATTCTCCTTCTTTCATTTGGAAGAGTTCATAATCATGAACCAACATGTTTATTCGAGTTTATTTCACTTTGCTGCTTCCTTCATAAGTGACTTCCAGTTTGTCCCACATTTCTTTGGCTGTATCACAACTTGAGATTTTATCATACTCCTCTCCACTTATAGCATTATAGAGTAAATTTTGTGCTTTAGCATTGACCTGAACAACTGCCATTTGCTCGTCTGTGTATTCATTTATATCTTTAGGATCAGTGGGTGGTTGAGCTGCTGCTGGCAGTGGATAGTTACCCTTTTTGATAACACACAATACTTTGACATTATAGGATTTTGCATATATTTCCATTCGCACTTTCCAGTGAGAAAAGTGTTGTCCATTGAAATATGGTGTCCTGACTTGCGCCGTTCCTTCTTGAAAGGGTGCTCCAACAGTTACTTAATTTTTCATGATCTTTTCTCACAAGTTGTTAAGTAAAAAATATGAGACTAGCTCTAATACCAATTGAAACTGCAGGGGGNAATACAAAATTTTTTATACTGGTTCAAATTTAGAGTGAATCCTACGTCCAGTCCCCTTGGGTTGCAAAGTGATCTTTTTCAAATATGATGCAGCTTAGTACAGATGAGTTGATGTTGTTATACACCAAAAACCTTTTGGTCACTTTGTTCTTATCTCTTATAATTGGTACAATGCCTCAGAGTATCTTCTATACTGATTGATTGATACCTTCCGTAAACGGTTGATTCGAATATCCACATGATTGATCTTCTATATTGATTGATTGACCATCTTATGCTGATTGATTTATGCCTTCCGTAAATGGTTGATTCGAATATCCACTTTCCGTAGAATGAGTGGTTACAACTTGGTTCTTGCCTCCTTGATTGTGCTTTTAGATCTTCTGTTAGAGTCTTTCCCATTCTCATAACATCCTTCGGGACTGGTTTCCTACAAGTAGAATTACGTTATTGTCTATCATTAAAATCCAAATCTAACATTTCACAATTTGGTCCCAGCTTCCCCTCGTTCGGCTCTCGGGTGTGTAATGTTACTTTCCTCAACACCAAGTCCCCGATCTTGAAGTATCGGAGGTTGGCTCTTCGGTTGTAGTATCTTTCTATCCATTATTTTTTGGAGGCCAACCGGATTAGGGCGGCCTCACGCCTTTCATTCAATAGTTCCAGGCTCGTGGTCATGACCTCGCGATTCGACTCTTCGGTCGCCTATTGGAACCTGAGGCTAGGTTCTCCCACTTCAACTGGTATTAAGGCTTCAACACCGTAGATAAGTGAGAACGGGGTGGCCCCGATACTATATTTTGAGGTTGTACGGTACACCTACATGACTTCGGGCAGGATTTCCTTCCATTTTCCTTTGGCATCGGTCAACCTCTTTTTTAGGTTTTGGAGAATGGTCTTGTTCGTAGATTCTGCTTGTCCGTTTCCACTCGGGTGGTAAGGTGTTGATTGTATTTTCTTAATCTTGTGATCTTCCAAGGACTTATTTACCTTGCTGCCGACGAACTGTTTCCCATTATCGCATACGATCTCGGCCGGTATCCCGAATCGGTATATTATGTGGTCCCAAATAAAGTCAATGACTTTTTTTTCCCGAACTTTCTTGAACGCTTGAGTTTCGACCCATTTAGAAAAATAATCGGTCATGAATAGTGTTAATTGAGCCTTAACAGGTGCCCATGGAAAGGGACCGACGATGTCCACTCCCCATTTCATGAACGGCCATAGGGAAAAGACCGAATGGAGTAGCTTTCCCGGTTGATAGATCATCGGTGCATGTCTCTAGCAGCCATCGCATCTTCGTACAAAGTCCTTCGCATCTTTCTCCATGTCGATCCAGTAGTAGCCGGCCCTGATTCAATTCTAAACCAAAGATTCCGCTCCTGAATAGTTT